GCTGGGTGTCTAGGTCTGCGTGCATGTATGCGCTTGCACATCTGTACGGCTGGGTATACATACGTGTATCTGGGCACACAGGTGTGTATGTGCACATGCATGTGTGCGCAAGCACCGGCATGCGTGTTATGTACGTGGGCACAAATGTGCGTGCAAGAAGGTCTGTGTGCGCATGCGTGCACACGCGCGTGTGCAAGTATCCGTGCATATGTGCATCCATCTATGCGCAAGTATGTGTATGCATGTGTCTGTGTGTGTCTGTGTATCTGAGGGCACGTCTGTATGCTGGTATGTGTGTGCATGCATGTGTGCACGCACAAGGATGCGTTTGCGTGCGCACATGTATGTCTCTGCGTATGCATGGGTATGTTGCACGCGTGTGTGTGCTGGTGTACACGTGAATGTGTGTCCATGGGCCTGCCTGTGTTCCTGTTTGCATGTGTGAGTGCATGTGTGTGTGCAAATGTGTATGCACGTGTGCGTGAGTGTGTGCATGGGTGTTTGTGTGTGCATGTGTGAACATATTAGCATGCGTGTGCACGCACATGTGTGCGCACATCTGTGCATGAATATGTGCGTGCGGGTGAATGTCCATGCACGTGTGTGCAGGGATGCAGTTCTGTGTGCATGTGTGTGCACGTACATGTGTGTGCACGCACATGTGCATGCGTGTGCGCTTGCGTGGATAGATTTGCGTGCATGCGTGTGCCCACATTTGTGCCTATAGATGTGCGTATGTGTGATTGTGCATGTGTGTGCACGTGTGCACATGTGTAGGAGCATATATATGCGTGCACATGTGCGTGTGTGTGCATGTGTGCATATGGTCATGTGTTCATAAGCATGCGTGCAGCATGCATGTGCTTGCATGTGCACATCATGTGTGTGCATGTGCCCGTGTGTGCATGCAGATGTGTGCATATGCATACGTGCATGTGCATGTGTTTATGCATGTGGGCATATGCAACGTGCGCACGTGTGCGTGCAAGTGTGAGCGGAGCTCTGTGCGCGCATCCGCGTGTGTGGATAGCCAGGTGCAGTTGTGTGTGTTCACGTGTGTGCATGTCTGCATGCACGCATCTGTGTGCACGTGTGCGTGCGTACGTGCATGCCCGTGTCTGTGTGCACGTGTGTGCATTTTTACATGTTGTCCGTGTGCGTGCATTTGTGCATGCGTGTACAGGTGTGAGCGTACGTGCGTGTGTTTGCATGTGCACGTGTGAGCATTCCTGTACTCGGCCCTGGTGAGGCCCCACCTCAAATACTGTGTTCAGTTTTGGGCCCCTCACTCCAAGAAGGACGTCGAGGGGCTGGAGCGTGTCCAGAGAAGGGCAACGAGGCTGGTGAGGGGTCTGGAGAACAAGTCTGCTGAGGAGCGGCTGAGGGAGCTGGGGTTGTTTAGTCTGGAGAAAAGGAGGCT